AGTGGTGGAGATGTCCCTCGTCCTATTGTAGGCCAGTCCTTCTCCATGTTCTTTAGATTCCATCTTTACCTTCTTTCTCAGAAACTTCACTCTTTGGGTATACTCTTTCCTCCTCCCTTTCAGATAGAGCAGTCTCATTAACTACAGATATGCCTTGGTCACTGTCTGTTTTAAAAACAAACAACAAATAAAACCCTTCTTTGCTTCACATTCTCACCCAGCTTTTATTATTTTACTTAACTGCTTTTCTTCCCATGTTGCCTCGACTTTGTTACATTCCTCTCACTCTTTATCCACTTCCGCCTGACTTGTCCTTCCACCATTTAAATAAAATGAAATATGTCATCTTCAGAAACTAGTCTTGTCTTGATCCACAAGGGAGGGCTCTGGAGGACAAATCACGTGGCAGAGTGGTCCATTATTGAGGGAATGGAGTTTGGTCTTTCATGACCCTATGATGGAGCAAGGCAACATGTGTCAACCAGGGTAGTTTTGGGAAAAAGTGTCAGGTGTGACTGATTAGTGGCCAACCCTCACAGTGGGTGGGAGATGGGTATGCTGGCCCAGTAAAGGGGATCTGGGTGGGACACCCACAAAGGTCTACCACAGTAAGCTTCTTACATGAATTCGCTTCACATGCAATGCATTCTCTCTACAACAATAAGATTGATTTTTTAAAAAATAACCTACATAAAAGAATTTCACTTTCTATGTAATATAGACTGAATATTTATGCCTCCTCTCATCCCCCACCTCCTCACAAATACATCTGTGGAAATGCTAATCTCCAAAATGATGGTGAGAGCTTGCTTCCTCTCTTTGCAGTACGAGGAAACCAGCAAGAGGGCTCTCACAGAACCTGAGCACACTGGCACCAACCTCAGAATCTCCGCCTCCAGAACTGTGAGAAATGTGTTCTTGTTTAAGCTACCCAGTCCACACTATTTATTTTAGCAGCCTGAGAAGACTGACATCAAGTTAAAATTCTTTGGTGGCTTTTTGTCTTGCTATGAATGATGCATCTATATCTTAACTTATCTTACCAAATCCTATAGGATCTGGAGTCTGACTCTCAGATCTCTCCTGTTCATACTCCTCCCTTGTTCACCTTCTTCTTGACCCACCAATCAGTTCCTAGAGGGAACAGGTTAATTTCCAACTCAAAGTCTTCATGAATGGTGTTTCTTCTGGCTAGCACGCTCTTTCTCTCATATTACCATTTTAATGAATATGTATTGTTTGTATCTCAGCTTAAATATCACTTCCTTAGAGAAACTGTCCCTAATAATCCCATCGAAAGTTTGTTTCCCACTGTTATTTTCTAGCTAAATACCCTGTTTTTTTCCACAGAGTTGTAATTATACATGTAATATAATTTGTAATCATATATGGTATAATCATACAAGCTATCTTAATACACCGAAAGCCCTGATTCATTCATATTTGTTAAACATCTCCTATGAGGTACCATGAGGTTTGATAACATGTCAGTTAGTTTCAACAATCCTATTGGAATATCTGGTGTCTAGTAGAAGATACTCAACTTGTGGAATGAATAAATAAATGAGTAGATATACGATGAAAAAAATTAGAGATACACATTCTGGTGATGAGGAAACACTTTTTTCCAGTTATCCCTTAACAGTTTTACTAAGGTTATCAATATGGGACTGTTTGATATTTAATCACATTGGTGCCCTTTGGTGCTTTCTTTTGCGATCATAGCACTAAACAGAGATTCTCTCATCAACTCTTACACATCTTGTCATTTATGTGGCTTCAACTTGCCCAGTGTTTAGAGAGACTGTGACATAGAAAGGTTAATTGACTTGGCTAAGGCTACAACATGTCTATGACAGAGTGAGGGATAGAATTTGCCTTTGCTTCTTGACTATTTTAGCATGTTGCATACTTACTAGTAGGTAAAGAAAATATATTGGGAATAAATCCACATCAGTAGGTTTGCAAACTGGAATTTTCCTTCTGAGATGTATTACTGCAAATATTTCTTCTCTGCACACAGCACACTCGGTGAGATACACTGTGAGGACAGGCACTCCCTCTCCATGATCATTAACCTTTCTCAGTTTCCTTATGAGAAAATGATGCAGGCAAAAGTGAAATATCTCAGTCACATGACAGAATGAATTAATGTCAAAGCTCCGTTCTGGGGTTTTGAGTTGACTTGTATGAACACACAGCTATGTTTTTCATCCTTATTTGAAGAACAGCTTATACTTTTAATATTAAAAATCCCAATTCTGCTGATTGCTGAGACTTAAACACATCAAAGGAAGATGAACAGGAATGCTTTGAGTTCTAGGGAAAAGTTTTGTATATCATGTTACTTAACTCTTTATCATTCATACATGTAAATATTGTATAAATACTATTAAAGCTGTAAATTATTTTCAACCGGCTTTAATTAGAATTTCCCTCATGCTAGTCTGAGTGTATAGATATTCCTTGAGGTTAAAAAATTACATCAGGCTTGAAATATAGTTGCAATTAAAACTTGGAGCATATTTCTGCTGCTTCATTCAAAGAGTAGTGTGCCATTTTGAAGTGTAATACATTAAGTGAGCAAAAGAATGGTTGTCACGTTTCACCTTGAAATTTATTCAGATATTTAGGACATGTATTTAGTGAGGAAATATGTGAACTTAGAGAATTTTTTTTTTTTTTATTGAAGTGTCTAGGACATTTCCCCCTCACACTGAGACAAGTGACCTGACAAGGCCTCTAACCCTATCAGCACGAGACTGTTACCTGTCTCCTGGACTTTGGAGCCAAGCCTATACTTTGGAAGAGATAAGAAAAAGTGCCTCACCTTAGGGCCGGAAGAACCACGGAGTCCAGTATCAAGGTAGTGGAGTAGTTCTTTTCCCAGGCTTAGCACAGGGTTCTCAAGCCTGAAGAAAAAGATTAACCTCCTTAAGAAAGGACTTTGCTAACTGGGGACTGGACATGGCATTCTTGATTCCAGGCCCCCTGTGTATAAGCTTGAACAGTCAAAAGTTCGTTTTCTTTGATTCTGATGTGGCTCATCTTTTCTTAGCTGCTGATATTCAAGATTTGGAAAAGACGGAACAGTGGTGAGCTGAGTAATTCATTGGATTCTGATGACAAGTTTTTGAGGAATTTTATGATTCCTGAGTTGTAAACCCTTATAACTTTAATATAACCTTGGTATGAGCTTTTCTTTTTCTCTCTGTGGCTTAGTAATTATATTTTGGTATTCTTGTTGGGTGTGATAGTAGATGTCGATTCATAAATTCATGGGTGTTTGAGGTTTTATTGACTTGAAAGCTCACTGTTTTTTATATATGCCTTATGTGTTTGCAGCATTTGATGTTAATTGAAATTCATTTAAAAATATATTTTAGGATGCATTTCTCTTTTTCATGTGTTTTTCAGAAAACATTTGCTTTTTTTTTTGAAAGAAATGAATGTATGTGAGATTTTATAGTTTGTACCTTGTCTTTATAGTAACATACAGTGGATATTTACAATTTTATTCTAGCTAATTAGATCAGTGTTGATCTCTGGACCCGTTTAGCCAAAATGGGCTGGTTAAAAAGTGTGGTTATTTTTGTTCTCTTGAGAAATTATTGGATCTGAAGTGGCTCCTAGGGTGTGGATCAACTCCTTTGAGATATGAAAGATGACATGAGGGCTACTTACTTTGCATTAACAGGTGGCCACGTTTCATCGTGGTGCTGTGGAGGAATATTGTTTTGGCCTCCTATGCTTGGGTCTTACCGGTCTTGAGTTTCTTAGGCTTTGAGTTCTTTTTGTTATTCTTTATTGTTGAGTCTTGAGAGCAGAAAATTCATGTCATGTCTCTTTTTAAGACTAAGTTTGAAAGGTTTCTCAAAAGTGAGTTTTGGGGGGCAAACGTGTGTTTGAGTCTTGTTTCTATTCTAGAATTTAGCACCTTGCTTGGCACACAAAAGGCCTTTGATATACAGTAAAAGAAGGGATTAGAGGATTAACGGTCACTTGTGGCCTGTGAGAGGTGACAGTCACTACTATTTCCAGTTAGATGATAGAAAACAGAGACAGTGAAACAGCTAATTTAGGATCACACAACACGAGTAAGGCATGAACGAGCGCAAAGCTGTGCAAACGTGTGTATATTGTATCTTCCACTTTGCACTGGAGTCAATAAGCAGTGTGAGTGTTTTAATGATTCTAATCAGTGTATGAAATAAGAGTGTGTGACAGCAACTTAACCGAATGGTGCAAACAAGATATTCATAAAGTTCATAAAAAAGTATGATTTCACACACATGGTTTTGACAAATTGGTGGGAGAGACACATTGAAAAAATCTAGCAAAGCTTTGGCCTCAAATTTCTTCATCAGGTAAAATATTGCAGCATTGTGTTGGCTCACTGATTCCCAATCTGTGTTATTAATTATTTCTTATAGTTATTTTATTTTTTTCAACTCCATTTTGTAAAGAGAAAGCTTCAGCACCCAGAAATTCTGTGTCCTTTGACACTGTTGGCAATGCATCAAGTCATGTGAGATTCATTTGCATATTTTAAACGTATTGTTTTATAATCCCACATTACTCTTTTGACTCCTTTCTTTGCTTGTTCCTTGTACCCCTTCTGTCATGTCCAAAGTATTTTCTGCAGTGAAATTTGTGTGGCAGGATGAGGAAGAGAAGAGGACAAAGCAGTCGCGTGTCAGTAGAGAGTGCTGGTACTTTGTGTTAGACAGAGGGCGAAGCTGAATGTAGTGAAAGACTGTACCCGTAGACCTGGACTGTCCCACACAGGGCTCTGATCTCCGCTAGGAGTCTGGCTTGACCTTCAGTGTTACTTGTTTTCCAATTTTATGGGTCTGTGCCTTGATTTCTTATAGTATGATTATGAAATTACTGTGTGTGTGTCTTCCCTTCAGGGTTTAAGAGCCAGCCATCTGAGCCTATCACATTCCCTCCCCACATCCTAGATGCTGAGCCAAAGACTACTTACAAACCCCAAGAAGTGAAAATGATGGTGCTCAATGGGCCTGTGTGCTGACTTTTTGTCAGTATGATAAACAAGTTTGATTTAAATGTAAATATTTTTTAAAAAACCAACCTTCTTTAAAGTGGTGACTTTCATTAAAATTGATTCTGGACTCTAAGCACAGTTAGCTGCAAAGACAGTTTGTAAAAAACACATACAATTCAGAATTTTAATTTGGGGTTATTAAAAATGTTTCTTCTCAGAACTAAGTTGTATTTTCTCAGTTCACTTTGATATTTCAATTTACTTTTCAGTATTATCAAGATAAGTATTATGATACCTCAACAATAAGGAAATTCTTTATTTTTCTTACCCTGTGCTGTGTAATAAAAATAAAAGTAAAATGGGAGCTATATAGTCTAGTGGGTAGCAATTCTTCTGTATAGTGTTCACAGAATGATCATTAATTGTCTCTTACTTCCATGTGAATGGGGAAATTAAACCATACTATTGAAAGATCTTTAGTTGTAGGTTTCAGTAACTTTCAATAGGTTTTAAGTATTCAAAGCCAAAATAAATAAAAAAAACAAGAAAAATTATTTTCTAATAAATGACATGTGTTTTAATTAAAGGTTTATCACATAATTTATCTAGAAGACATTACAATTCTATCTGCAAATTTGGAGAAGTGTATATATTTTTGAGAAAAATCTTTGGTCTGGGTTGGGAGTAGCAATATTTTATAACCAACCAATGCCCCTGAAAACCCTGTATCTATCTTTGTTTTGATATAATAGGGAAATATTGATTAATCAAGCACTAATTAACCCTGTTAATTAATGGTAGAATATGACATTTAAGGATGACTTTTTGAATCATGGTCTTTAATACTTTGAGGAATACAATCACCATTTTTAGTATAAATATTATTCTAACCTGATAGGCCTTTTTATTCCCAAGTTACATTTAAGTATACCATTCTGAGTAACTAACATTGTACTAATACTTCTCCCATTATAAAACTTTATTTTTTTCATTTGCTTTACTTCTTATAATATGTCTGACCATTCTTTTTGTAGGAGTTTTATTATTACTGCTTGCCCTCAACTTCTAATTCCAGTCAATTAACTTTTAAAAATAAATTTCAAAACCTTGACATAGTTCTCAACTCTTTGCTTTTTCAGTGCTCAAAGTTTTCAAGAATATTCACTGGAAGGAATCAACTTCCTAATCCAAGTTCAATGAGCAAACAATATTACATAGTTTCCTTTTCTTATGAGTTGAGGGTGGATGATCTTGATGAAGTCAAGTACAGGTTAAAAATAAATGTCATCAAATGAACAATACCAGAATAAGAGTGTCAGGAGTTGAAATCCGAGTTGGCATTTTTGACTGTTCATTAGAAGTTTCTAGAATTCAAGAACCAGGATTCCTCCCCCCCCCCCCCTTTTCTTTCTCACCACCTCGGTCTCCATTTTTTTCTTTGTCTTTTTTTCTCTCTAGGGCATTACTTTGCTCCAAATTATTTAAACCTCAATAAAATTTAAAAAGATACCCTGCCTTTTAGTGACTCAATGCAGAAGTCTCCCAATCTGGACAAAGAAATGGCTGTATCGTTCATTCATAGGAACATGCAATGATGTTTTAGGAGAATGAAACTTGACTGTTTGTGAGAGTGGTGGTCTGATTGCTAGGATGGCAGCATACAGCTTCCTGGACCGCGTTCCTCTGAAAATAGGAGGCATGGGAGAACTCAAATGTAACATAACAAGTGTACTATAAAAAGGGGCGGAGTAGGAATGTGCGTGGGTGACCTGTTTTTAATTAAAAAAAAAAAGTCTTCTACGTCATTCCAATCTAACCTGCTGCCCCTTACCTCATGAAGTCGGTAACTTCAAGACACATTGCACAAGTTGCTTCTCTGTGATCCTCAAATATGTTTAATTTAATGAGGGTCCAATTCTCTTCGAGCACATGACCTGGATTATAATAGATAAGCTCTCTTCATGGCCAGAACTGCAGAACTGCTCTTTAGAATCTTGCACAATTACTTGTGTTATCTCTTTACAAAAGCAAAAAAAAAACAACAAGCCCATCAGAGCTGCCTGTTCTGTTGAGCACATTTGAAGATGGTTTTGTTCCAGTGATAATCGTTGTGCAAAAAGGCTGCTGATGAATTAAATTCTTAAAGACTTTTCTTAGAAATATTTTACTATTGAGAATGACATGGGCCTAATGATTTAGTTATTTCATTTTATGAAGCTTATGATGTGGGCACGTTTAAGCCACATTTTAAGAAGATGCTTAGGTCAACATTAAGTAGAGAGTTTGATCTATGTAATTGTTAGTTCTTTTACTAATTGTTTCATCATTTAAAAGTTATTTTTATTTGAAATGTAGTTATTCAGAACTTAGATTTCTATAGTTATTTTTACTAAAGGCTTTAGGCTAATATTGAATTATTTAAGAACAATGAGATGTCTTTGACCCATTTGGATGTTTCTTATATTTATAAAACAAAGGAATGAAAAAAGATCATTTTAGAGCTTCAGCTATATAAAACTATTTACATTTTTTATATTCTGTTTGTCTGATGAGAATTTAAGCAATAAATTGAAAGTTTCCCAATTTCTTATGTCAGCAGAAAACAGTTGTTTCCTGATATACAGCCCCTGATACCCAGAATGTACTCAATACTTCCTGAATTGGTTATTATTATTATATTTTTAATAATTGTAGACTTTATTTATGAACAACCATGAAAATTCCGTGGCATTTAATTATTCAAATTCAGTAATAAATAGCTTCAAGTAATAGTATGTAAGATAGAAAAATATAAAATATCCTTTGCTATTTTAGGTAAGTCCAGCTGAATCAGTTAGCCTTCTAGAAGTATGACTCCCAGGCCAATCATTTCTACTAGGGAGATTAGTAGAAAAATTGTGTAGATTTTTTTCTGTATTTTTCATTTATGTTATCTTAATTTTAAACATAATAATACATCAAAGAAGTCAATAATAAATCAAATAAGTTATGGATTCTTTGTTTCTCATTTGATTTTTACTGGTTAAATTTTACTCATTTCCTGGTAATATAATAGTTCTAAGTATTATTACTTCTAGAATTATATATTTTTCCTATCAAATTGGATCTTAACCAGCCTTATACATGCTGGAAAGAGTTGGCTAAGAGTTGAGTTCTGATCCTGGCTTTGCAAATTATTAGTTGTGTGGCCTTGATCTGGAACTTACTCATCATCTTTATCTGTGAAACAGGGTTAGTATTAGCTATGTTCAGTTCAGGGACTCCTTTTAAGATTATCAGATAAGTTATGCCAAGTGCCTAAATCAGTAGCTGGCACTCTGGGGTGATCAACAAATGTCAAGTACCTCAACTTTCAGGAGGGATCGTATTTATCATCATTGGGCCATTAAAATGTATTTATTTAAATATTTATTTGCACTAACTGGCATATTAGCAAGTGGTGCATTTTTTTTTTCTACATAGATATATGTTAATATATTGTGGTTATGAATTTAAATGCTTTAGCTTCTTGTAGGATTTTTCTTATTTATTGCCCAAGGATTGCTTCTTTTATTCCACCCTTTCAGGAATATTGAAAGATTTTAAATTAAATAGTCATTTCAGGGTCAAAATTCTGCTTTTAGTTTTCAAGTTATTTAATAATTAACTTTGCATTTCATTTCTTAAATTTCACTCTAAATTCTGTTTTCATGTATGGCTTTACTCACTCATAGTAAGTACAGATTACTATGAGTAACTCTGGGCAACTCACTACACTTCATGACTGCTACCTATGTGTTTTGGTCTATCTCTGTATACTCCATTCTCCACAGCTTGTGTTGGAAGCTTGTTTTTCGTCCTTTTTGTACTAACTTACATGTGACCTCACAGTGCTTGCACTTTACCCTGTTTGTGTTTGACTATGTCTTCAGTTTGCCAAGGTCAATGAATGCTGAACCAACTCTTTAAGGCATTGTCCACTCTGTCTCATCCTACATAACAAGCGTGGTTTACCCACTAGCTAATGTGTCCTCTTACATTTATATGTTCTCTAGCAAATGTGTATGCACTTAATAATGATCTAGAATATATACTCAATACTCTTGAATTAAGGTCAATTGCATCTAACATTTCCACTTAGTCTAGTAATGTCTCTTTTTTTTAAGGAAGAAGTTGCCATGAAATGATTTATTCTTCATAAATACATGCTGCTGCACCAGCTGACTAGTGCTCTTTAAGGTGTTTTCAAGTGGGGTGTTATAAATTATAGCCTTTTTATTATCCTAGTATATAAATCACATGTGCCTTAGATTTTAATGTGTGAAACCATTTTTACAAGGTTTCTTTTTCAGCTTCATTTTTCAACTTTCTTGGTTTCACGTCAACCATTCTGTATGTTATCAAATGTTTGATTGACAAGCACATTCACGAAAACTCTTTCCTCATGTTCTATCCCTCAAAATGCCAGCTGGATCTTAATGAATATGTCTTACTTGATTGGATTTCCAAAGACTTCTGGTTATTTATAAACCTCATCATCTAACAACATGATATCTGTCTATTGTCATTATTAATAAATCTTCTTCTTGGTCAAACCTTATTTGAAGAATCCTTCTACCAGTTTCTTCTAGTTTCTGTGATGGGAGGAAATATATGCTTTTTATGTGGGTACAAATCCATACCCGTAACTTAAAAAAATAACTTTTTATTTTTGGTACAAATCCTTAGTTGTGACAGAGTTCCTTGTTGTATTAGATGAATAAAATTCAGAATTAACCATAATAATAACTTACACCTTTTATATTATAATTTCATGCATCTATGCTCAAACACAAAATGCAACTTTCCTTTTGGGAGGATTGTTTCCCCTTCTTTTACTCTGAATTTATTTGCTTCCAGACATAACTTACTTCTTGCTTTAAATTTGTCTCTTCAAAATAGCCTTTCATAGACTTTTTAATTGACTATTCTCTTTTCCTATTCCTAAATATCTTTATTTCCTCTTATATTCAACACATCTAATTTTATTTGTTTCTGCTTAAATAAATTGATCAGGCAGGATCCCAGTATGCAAGAATTCTTTCATTCCTTCAAACATTTTTTTCTAGAAGTACCTCTTATATGTTTGCTATGTTTAAGACTTTCTGATAGACTCATCACTTTCTAAGAGTTGTCTTTGATTCATTACATAGCAAGACACTTCATAAGGGCAGTTGGAAGTTTCTGTACCTTTCAAGAAGGAATAACTAACACCATCATGTTCTCTTTATTCAAACACATGAGGCTTTTATTCTCCAGAATGAGCAGTTTTTCCCAGTTGGGAGCAGGCTTCCCTTTGCTTATGTCAACGGATTTTCCAAATGAAGAGGATATAAGTGCAGGCTGTCAATCAGGTGGCTTTATGTTTCCTTTTAAGAGGTTTTCTTGATCGTTAATATAGATTAATGGGAACAAATAGATGGAAAAAAGAAGAAACAGTACTAATTAAAAGCATATGGAAGTATTTGACTTCACTAGTAATTTAAAATTTAAATGAAAACAAATTACCATTTTTTTGTGCTCAAAGAGGCAAATAAAAGATAATACCTAATGTTGGTGAGGGTGTTTTGAAAGGGACATTCATATATTGTGATTGGTATGTAGCTGGGTACATTCTCTTTGAAAAGAAATCTGGTAATATTTATCAAAAATGGCAATATTGATATGCATTGTAGCAACAATAGAAGAAATAAAAATGGAATATATTGCAGCATTTCACTTAAGGTTTTAAAAGAACATGTAATAACATTGAACATACTTATAATATTACCTCACAAAAGCATAATAAAAATTGACCACAGTTTTCAAAATTATAACCTGTGCATATAAATAAATGCTAAAACAAATATACTAAAATATTAATAAAGGCCCTGGCCAGTTTGGCTCAGTGGTTAGAGTGTTGGCCCACGGACCAAAGTGTCGTGGGTTCGATTCCAGTGAAGGGCATATACCTCAGTTGTGGTTTGTCCCTGGCCCTGGTTTGGGTCGTGTGGGAGGCAACCGGTCGGTGTGTCCCTCTCATATCAATGTTTCTCTCTCTCTCTCCCTCCCTCCCACTCTATCTGAAGATAAATAGAAAGATATCCTCTGGTGAGGATTTAAAAAAAATTAATAAAGGTTATGTTTGAGGCATGGGCTATTATATATTTTTCTGTATTTTACAAATTTATTTAAATATCAAATGAAAATAAATACCACTTAGTACTTGATATAGTACCATTTTCAATATCAGATATCCCAATGACAAATTCATTAAGTTTTGCTCTTAGGGATTTGGAAGGCTGAATGCTTTCATTCCTCTAGAGAAGTGGTAAATAATTATGTTAGTTAAGGATACTTCTCTCTCTATATATATACACGCATATATATATATAATCTTTCTTTCTTTTTTTTTTTTTTATCCTCACCTGAGGACATTTTACCATTTTTTGTTCAGATACAGTGGGAGGGAGAGAGCGAGAGAGAAACATCAACGTGAAAGGGACACATCGAGTGGCTGCCACACGCATGACCAACCAGGGCCGGGGACAAACTGCAACCGAGGTACATGCCCTTAGCGGGAACCGAACCCGGGTCTCTCTGGACCGCAGGCCGATGCTCCAACTGATAAGCCAAACCGGCCAGGGCTATAATCTTTCTTACATATATATATATACACACACACACACACACACATATATTCTTCTATATATTTATTCAAGGCATTTTCCAGTTTATGAAAGAAATAGAATACTTTATAAGCATTAAATTAAAAAGCACCAAATATTCCCTACTCCATCAAAATTGAGAAAAACTGTTTAGCTTTAATTTAATTTTAGTTTTCTACATGGGATTGTACAGAGAAAAGGAGCCTAATGCTGTACCTATATGTGTGAATAGAAAAGAAGGACTAAATTTGTAATATTTTGCTTTTTTGAATGAGTTACATATAAGCTTAGAGAACCCTTAATGGTCTGGCTCATACAAACTACATTTCGAATGCACAGATCTCCCCAACCCCCTGTGTAACGTAGGTGCGGACCTGTCCCCCTGCTTAGTTGTGTGCAGCTTATGTGGGGGAGGAACACGTAGATGCAGTCAGAGGGAAAACGTCATTTCAAACTGAAAAACACTTTTTAAAAAATGCTTTGAAAGATGCCATTCATAAACGTGAAATCTTTTCACTAAATTTTCTATGTCAGACTTAAATGTTCACTACCAATCAGCTCTTATCACCTCACCTCTTTAGTCTATCCTAATGCAAACTCCCTCATTAATGTCATAATTTGTTTTCCAGTTTGGTTATAGATTTCAGTCTGTTCCCAACTGTCCTATTTAATTAAAGCACAGATAATAAAGGGAGAAAACATACTACCATGTCTATTACATGAGTACCTCTGGGTAATTTATTTTATACACATCGTAATATATATCATATATTATGATATATAATAAATATACAGTATATTATGTATATATGTGATATATATACATATATGTGTATATATCTGTGTGTATATATCTCTGTGTGTGTGTGTATATATATATATATTTATATAAATATATATTTGAGACCAAGGCTTAACCTAGAATTGCACTGAGCCAGTAAATACTGTTTCTAAGTCCTTAACTGTCTAAGTTGGGAGTTTCCCTTCTGACAGTTTCCTCCTCCAATTTATTTTTTAAAATATTTCTTTCACACAAATTTTACCTTTATTCAAAGCACTTTCATGAGTACCATGAACACCATTTATGGATTAAGACCGACCATTTTAAGGCACACAAAGTCTTCCATGTTATGATCTCTGTTCGCTTCCCCAAATATACCCTTCATTTAGGCTTGATTAGAGTGTTTCAGAGATTTTTAAAAAATATGCCATAGGATTTCATGTGTTTGTGCTGTTGCTCATACCATTCTTTCTGCTATTCCCCTCTCTTATGCATCCTTTGGGATAACGTGGTCCAACATAATCCCACCCTTAAATTTTACTTCACAGGCACAAGGAGTTGATGGATTGATTGATTGATTGATTGATTGATTGATTTAATTTTCACTGTATTTAGACAACCTACCATAACATTACCTATTTTATTCATTACTTATATACTCTAGATTAGATGATTTTTTTAGTTTTCCATCACCAGGAGCTGTGATAGAAAGTAGTTTGAACTCAGAGAGTGTTTATACATAAAGAGGATTGAACTTTAAATTAGTTCTTTAAAAAACAACAACAACAAAAACCATCCTCACCCCTAGTCCCCAGTTCTAGCACTCATCCTATGTCAGTGAAGTTCACAGTCACTGTGTCATTCTGTGTCATCTTTTCTGTGTTGGGAGGCCCTAGGAGGAAGCTTTTATTTCTTGGCCTCATTTGCAAGGTTATCAAAGGAAGATGCGCAGTATTGCCTGATCTACATAGACACATGACTTACGTGAGAGCTTCCACCAGCCAATGAGGCTCTTTGCCTGCCTGATCAACCATATGGGTGAAGGACTAAGTTATCGATTTCAGCTCAGGTTGAAACATGAATGCTCAATTTTTGAAAATTTTATTTGTAACTTTTAATAATTAGAACACTTTATTTTTAATTAAAATCAATGTTTACCATTGTTTCATACACTTAAAAACCTAACAGTTAAGAGGGATTTAAATAGGCTACTTTGCTCTAGTTATGTTTTACTGACTATTACTCATTGTTTTGAAATTTGGAACACAAAACTTTATTAACTCAAAAGAACAAAATGAAACAACAACCATATAGATAAGTTTACTCTATATTTGTGAAGAAAAGTCTATTCTGATGTCCTTTTTACTGTATGTGATTTCCACTTTTTCCAAGAAGAAAATAGCAAGTCTTCAGGTTTCTTTGGGAATCCAAAATCTCTTTTGAGGTAAATTAGGCATCATATCCAATACAAGTAAAAGCCTTTGATCCTTAGCATTACTAGAAAGTTGCTACTCTTTAGGGTGAGATTTCTAAGGTTGTCCACCACGTCTAGGTCATTCTATTCAGCTGCATAAGCAATTCCTTTGATGGGTGACTGGTTTTCTACAACACTAGCATTATTTCAGCAGGAGGAGGTAGTGTTTGATGTTTTGCAATTTGTATTACATGTCCATAGAACATCACGGGGCATTACCTTGGGAGGAGGGGTCAAGAGAAGGAGGAGCTGTGGCTGAAGACATTTAATAACAGAATCAATGGAAATTCAAAGACCCCTGTGCAGTCAGCCCTAAACACCTGACTGCACACCCCTCTCCCCAGCTTTCTTTCACATTAATTAAAAATTATTATAACAAAGTCCTCATAAAATATATGTAATTTCATTTAATTTTAGTCACAAATCAACATCTTCAAAATGACGAGGATTTTGACAGCTTGCAAAGTGGTGAAGACCCTGAAGACCGGTTTTGGCTTTACCAATGTGACTGCGCAACATCAATGGAAATTTTCAAGACCTGGCATTAGGCTCCTCTCTGTCAAGGTAATATTCCACATTCATTGCTCCTGATAAAAGTTTATGGGGTGTAGGTTAGTGTGAAGCAAATATAGATTTGAATGTAGTTCCAAAGAGTGCTGATTTATTAATATCTACTTTACTATAGAACCTACTGATTTATCTGATGCTTATTTTTATCTGTTCAGAGTAAAAATACAGCAATTTTTCCCCAACACAAAGGGTCTCAATTCCTGTTAACATAACATGTAAGTGTTCTGTTTAGAAAGCAAATATTTGTAAAGGCTTTTGGGGCTCTGTCTGGGCCCGGACACTACTGCTCACAGTTTGGGTTCAAGCATGGGGTTGCTTGTGTGTTTATGAGCCTCATGACAGTATGTTAAGCCCCAGTTCTGTATTGGCTCACTACCAATTGTGCTCTTTTAAAATGTCATTTTTTTCAGAAAAAATTTGAAAGAAAAATATCTGATATTTGCAGATCATTGTGCAGGCAATATTTTTCTTTCTTTCTTTCTTTCTTTCTTTTTTTTTCTTTTTCCTCTTAGCCCTTCTTTAGAAGGCCAAATGAATGACTTCTAGCTTGCAGAGTAAGACACCGAGACAATTAGCAGCTGATAATTCTGCCCCTCCGAGTGGATCTCTAACTGAAAAGCAGGTCCAGGAAGTGAACAGTCAGTGTTCTTTCTCCCCCACTCACTCCTGAATTACGTGATTTCAGTAGAAACTTCTGTTCCTTTCTATAACTGAAGAGAAGTCTGAAGTTACTCTGTGGGAACTTTGCCAATGAAAATCACCTTTTGTGAATATAAAATGAAAGTAATCACAGTAGTTCTTTAGTATTAAGAGCTGTCAAAAGTGAGGTAGAAAAGAACCCCAAACAACCCCTATCTGTTGATATAAAATTAGGTTGTAATAATTTAAAGTATTCTGCTTATACTTTATTTGTTCACTGTGTTGACTAAAAATCCTTCAAGTGCTTCTACAGATTGTACTGCTTAGGTTGCTCCAGTCAGGATCCAATATGGTTCTAACCAAGTGACATCTGCGGGGCTTAGCAAGCCCATAGATTCTTATGGCCCCCACCAAAAGGAATGGGAAAGGGATAGGAGTAAAAAGAAAGAGAGGCAGAGACAGAGAGACAGGAGGTGAGGAGTGAGAGGTGGAAGGTGGGAGAGAGCAGAGAGAGACACACACACAGAGAAACAAAGAAAGTAAGATAAATAGCAATGAAAACAATATCACCTAGGGTTAGAAGTGTCTTCTAAGACTTCAAAGTTGTGCCCCTTAGAATGTCTATTGTTCTCACAAAAATAGGTAGGCAGGAATAGCTGTATCTCCACCAAACATCAGAAACAGAGAAATTGGGTGACTACTTAAAACAGCATAGATGTGAATGAGATTAGAAGCAAGTTCTCCAAGATCATAATAAGTGCTCTATACAACTACTACTGCAACGAAATAGTTTAATTAAGTGGATGGACGACCATAAAGCAGTTCATCTAGCTCATGGTGACAGATCTGGTTTGAAGGGTCTGACAAAGTTCATAGCTAAGAATAACAAACTTGTAGGAGGAATAAGCAATCATTTCATAAAGTTAAAGCCACTACTCATATTTATTTCTGGCCAGAGTTTTGGAGGAAGCAGAAGTTCTTCAGCTTCACTATAGTGAGTTAGAATTCTATACAGCAGTCCAAGGAGACTTGTGTTATTCTTCACTTCTTTTGAAACAGTCTCCTACCTACTTTTCTTCCTGCCTTACTTTTAAAACTCAACTCTCTTAGGAGGAAAAATCCAAATTTATTCTTTTTTGAAGAATAACTATTTTAAAGACAAATAGTTAACATTCTTAGGTTATAGTTACATAATGGTTAGCGACGGGCAGTGAGGATCACTACTAGTTATAGATAGTAAATGAATGTTGATGATATACTGCTATCGGGTCAATAAACACTGTCCTGAATTGATGGCCTTTCAGTGTCTTTGGAGGTCACGTTTCCTCTCCTCTTGGCTGCAAAGAGAGTGAATTTGACAATAACAGTGGCACACGTGTGCTTTTCTGTGGCCCTTCCTTGTATAATTGTTTGTGGCTAATATTTATATAGCATACCTGGCTAATAGACACAGTTTATATTTCACTTGTGGGAAGAGGAAAGAATTTCAAGGTGCTCTACATTTTAATGGAATTTAACATCCAAGGTATACGTGATCAACCACCATAAAATGTGAAAGTTTTAGAGACCATAGTCTCTTTCTATTAGTATTGAAAATGTGCATTGCTCATTATTACATTCAGCCAACTGTAGCTGTGTCACGGGAATCTCACTGGATAGGAATAGAAAGGTCTGGGTTCTAATCCCTCTTCTGCATTTATCATCAATGCTTGGAACTTGGCCATGTCATATATTCAAAATTCAAACCTGAATTTTGTGTGAAAATGATTCTTGCTTCACTCAAAGGATTGTGTGACCACCACACATGATCAGTACTTAAAAATCTATAAAATTCTTTAAAAGCAAAACTGGATATTTAAAAAATAAATTCTGTTCTATGCATTTTAGTAGAAGAACTTAGTAGAGAGTTACATCAGAGTTTTTTCATGTTATTTGTGGACTACACATTATTACAATAAAAAATATGTGATAACATTTCTCAAATATTTACAGTGGTGATTTTTTCACCTTTGCCTTAAATTAAACCTATCTCTAGGAATATATTTCTTATAATGAATTATATTCAAAGACTATGAAGCAAATAATTTTTCCTCACTATGGTGAATTCAATTCCAAAATGCAGAAAGTACAACTTAATATCTTATTTCATTCATTCATTAATTCATTATTTAACAGGTAAACATGAAACATTTATCATTATAGTATACAGGGAGAAAAACAAATGGAAATAAGTAGATAATTAGTGTATAGTTTCTGATTTCAAGAAACTTACAAATTTAAAAATTTTAAGCTTACAAGTCTTGGAAAGCCACCAAGAATAAATGGCTTTATTTTTACTTGCAAATAAATTTGGAAATCGAAGGTATTAAATTAAAAAAGTTAAGTTCTCTGTGAATAGAAAAGGGTTCAGTAAGTACTGCTTCTAACATTAATCTATTTTTAAAAATAATGATTTGTGTTACAATTAAGGCAGGAAACTAACTGTCCAAGTATCCTTTTCTCTGGCACTTTAGATACAAATGAGTCCCAGGAATTATTATTCTCTTTGAAAGGTTTTCATTTTGTAAGATGTTATATTATGATTCTAACTTAGAAGTGTCTATTTAGCTCAGTCTTAAGGAGCTATTGTGATTTGATTCGAATTGGCAACTACAAAAACTCCTACAATGAGAACCATTTAGTTATATTGTAGCAGCTTTAAAGACATTCACAGGAAATAGATTTTATCGTTATTTTGGAGCCTCTGTATTATTAGAGGTGGGGTAGGGGTATGGTTATTACATCCTTTCAAAAATAATAATTGTGTTAGACTTTTACTAAAGATAAGTTTTATGGCTGGATTTCTTTTAAAAAAACGTTTTTATTGATTATTTTAGAGAGAAGAAGGGAGAGATAGATAGAAACTTTGATGTAAGATAGAAACATTGAATGGCTGCCTCCTCCACGCCCCCTACTGGGGATTTAGCCTACCCAGGCATGTATCCTGACTAGGAATCAAACCAGGACCTCTCAGTCCATGGGATGACGATCCACTGAGCCACACTGGCCGGGCTAGGGCTGGATTTCATCCATGACAATCCAAATTATTGAAATAATGAATTATGGTTCAATCCCAAATGAACTGTTGCAGAATTAGTTGGAATCGATTAGCAACTGTACATATTTTTGTTTTAGACAATATTTCTTTAATTGGGAGGTAGCCTCCTTTTTGAACATTTTTGTTGATGTACTCCACTTTATATCTCCCCTCTTTCTGAAGTATAGACTCATTTGTTTGTCATCAACAGATATTTGGAGCTTCTTGCCATGAAATCCTTGAAAAAGCTGTAGCTGAACAGGGCTTAGACTAGGATGGGGCAAGTGAGATCCCTAAGGTTTGCTACATGGATGGAGGCTCTCACGACCAGGGCCTTGGGTGTCTTCCTTCCATGTTGCAACCTCCCTCACCTCCCTCTAGTCCCAGCCCTGGGTCAGAAACGAAGAATTTCAGCAGGGGAAATGCCGAAAGAGCTGGCACCGGTCTTGGGTCTTGGGTCTTGGCCTCGCGCGATGATGCCCCGAGTTTCTGTTTAAACCTGCTTAGCCAGACTTACTGCTGGTTTAAAGGCTACTTTAGATTCCACTGCTGTGGAAATAGAGAACATTCCTCTGCCCTCACAGTTTCTTTAGACTTTCTTAATGTTTCTAACCTGTACTAAAGGTGGGGATGTGTGAAGTAAAGGGTTTCTAATACCTCTTAAGCAATGGTCATACCAGACAGAGGTCACTTCAAGGTTTCACAAGACTGAATGTGACCAGTGCTCCACAGGGTCTCTGCAATGACAGAGGGTAACCTGAAGACAGCTACACGGACCAGGGTCACGCCTGGTGTTGGATTTCTCAGCCCTAGTGATCTTGAGTTTACACTTGATTTTCTTCATCTGGTCTAAGGAGCTCAACTCATGAACATACTTTCAAAGCTTGTCTATTCTTTCTTCCTCCCAACTTAATAAATGCCATATAATGATCTTATACATTTTATAGGGAGATTATTGGCTAATGTGAAGCTCTTACAAATGAATCAATAGGGTCTCTGTATCACTAAGAATTTTACTGAACGAGTTCCTTCTATGATGTAGAATTAAATATTAGACCATTTTACTTTTTTACCGTAAAGTAAAAATGACCTTTCAATAGTGGAGATACCTCCCGGATTCAGAACACTATACCACATAGCAGATGCCCCTTCCATGCTTGTAAATAAACCTACAATTTTAAAATATATTTTGTAATGGAATTTTTCTAGATGCTATATTTTATTTATAATGAGAAACATAACTAGAATAAAAGTTGCTTATCAATCTGACTCATTTGTT